ATCCCCCCATAGCAGTACGTTGGGAAGAGTCAAGGATTTTTCCCAAGCCCAAAAAACCGGGAACCAACCCCAAAGAACCCTCAGGAATGGGAAAAAATGGGGAAAATTGGAAAACCAGGAAAAAGAATGGGAAAAAATCAGGAAAAAATGGGAAAAAATCAGGGGAAAAAGGGAAAAAGGAGCAGCTGGCACGGGAATTCCAGGCCAAGGAAGGATATTTGGACTGGCCACGGCCCCCCAGGCGCCGGGCCTTGATGTTTGGGAAGATCTCACGGATGATCTTGCCAAAGTTGGCCGTGCTCAGCGGGCGGCAGCCCAGGTTGTCACAGTAACGCCTGCGGGGACAGAGCGGGTGACACGGAGCAGGGACAGGGCAGGGGGACACGGAGCACCAGGGCAGGGGACACGGAGCAGGGACAGAGCGGGTGACACGGAGCAGGGACAGAGCGGGTGACACAGAGCAGGGACAGGGCAGGGGGACATGGAACACATAAGGGACAGGGCAGGGGACACAGAGCAGGGACAGAGCAGGGGACACGGAGCAGGGACAGGGCAGGGGGACACGGAGCACCAGGGCAGGGGGTTCCTTGAGGCATGGGGACATGGGGACAGGGGGTCCCCAGGGAGGTGGGGACATGGGGACAGAAGGACAGGGATTCCTAAGGGACATGGTGACGTGAGACACCAGGACAGGGGGTCCTTGGGGCATGGGGACATGGGGACAGGGGGTTCCCAGGGAGGTGGGGACATGGGGACATGGGACAGCAGGACAGGGGGTCCTTGGGGCATGGGGACACAGTGACGTGGGACAGCCCAGCTCACTTGTAGGCGTCATAGACGTCCTGCTTGGGCAGGCAGGTGTCCGTGTGCTCCTCCAGGTGGTTGCGGATCCAGCTGCAGGCGTGCATGTGCTCGGCCGTGCCCAGCGCGCTCAGCTCCAGCGAGGAGGAGCTGCTGCTGCTGCTCCAGGGCCACAGGCAGGGAGGGGAGCCCGTCAGGTCAGCACCTCTGTGCCAGCCCTGGGTGAGGGACCCGCCCTGGGGCATCCCTGTGCCAACTCCAGCTCCATCCCATCCTACCCCATAGATCCCATCCCATGGATCCCATCCTATCCCACCCCATCCCATCCAATGTCCCCACCCCACAGATCCCACCCCAAGGATCCCACCCCAAGGATCCCATCCCACCCCCGGGTCCCCCCTGACCTCTTCTCGCCCAGGCTGGGCCCCGAGGGCAGCTGCAGGTACAGGTAGAGTTTGTCGCTGTCCGAGAACTTCTGCACGTCCTGCTGCACTCCAGGGACAGGGACAGGGACAGGGACAGGAGAGGAGGAGAGGAGGAGATGAATCCTGTGGGGTGAGCCCCGGGAACGGCCCTCCCTGCCTCCAGCATTCCCAGAACACTCACCAGGATGGAGTCCACCTTGCTCTGCACGGATTTGCTGCGAGGGACAGAGGCCACGAGTCAGGAACGATCCCAAAAACCCCGGGGTCGCAATTCCAGCCCTGCCCAGGGCTCCCCAGGTCCCTCCAGACCCCGAGTGGGATCCAGGACGGACCCGGGACGGACCCCAGGGCTCAGGGATGCAGGAAGGACCCGGGATGGACCCGAGATGGACCCGGGGTGCCCTGGGGTGATTCCCAGGTTTTGGGGTGCCCAATTCCCAATCCCCCACCCCGTGAGCCCCCTCTGGGGTGCCCTGGGGTGATTCCCAGGTTTTGGGGTGCTGCCCTTACGAGATGTTGCCCCGCAGCTCCTGCAGCAGCGTGCTGGACTCGGTGGCACCGCCCCGGGCACTGCCAGCTGACAGAGGGCCCCTCCTGGTGGCCCTGGTCCCCAGCTCCTCCTCAGCCATGGCAGCCCTGTGTGTGTCCTGCAGGGAAAATGGGACTTCGGTGTAAAAACGGGAATAAATCCCATTCTGGGGGCCCCTCCTGGTGGCCCTGGTCCCCAGCTCCTCCTCAGCCATGGCAGCCCTGTGTGTCTGTCCTGCTGGGAGCAGGGAAATGGGAATTTGCTGTAAAAACAGGAATAAATCCCATTCTGGGCTCTAATGGGACTCGTGGGCACGGACAGGAGCCACAGAAATGGGACAGGGACATCTGCAGTGACCCCGGCAGGGCTGGGGGACAGGGGGACACCAGGACAGGGGGACAGCAGGAAGAGACCCACAGCGCCGGCAGGAAGAGACGCCCAGGGATACGGGGCCATGAGGCCACCGGAAGCGACCCCCGGGGCCGCCGCCGCCCTCCGCGCCCTCCCCGCAGTACCGGGCCGGTACCGGGGGCCGGGACCTCCCTGCCGGGGCCGAGCCCGGGGTGTTCCCGGGGTGTTCCCGGGGTGTCCCGGGGGTGTTCCGGGGTGTCCCGGGGGTGTTCCGGGGATGTACCCGGGGGTGTCCCGGGGGTTTCCGGGTGTGTTCCGGGGGTGTCCCGGGCGTGATCCGGGGTGTTCCGGATGTGTCCCGGTGTTCCCGGGGGTGTCCGGGGTGTACCCGCGGGTGCCTGGGGGTGTCCCGGGGGTGTCCCCGCGGTGTCCCCGGGGGTGTCCCCAGGCCTATCCCCCCCCGCCCCCCCCCAGCCCCGCACCCACCTGGTCCCGTCCGGCTCGGGGGGCCCCGGGAGGGAGGGAGGGGGGAGGGGAGGGGTCCCGCCACGTGCCCCGCGCCCCCCGCGCGAACCGAAAGTGGACGCGCCCCTCGCTCGCCGCGCGCGCGGCCCCTTCTTTTTTCTGATTGGCTGCGGCGGCGCTGGTCTGCCCGGATACGGCAGCGCCCGCGGCCGTGATTGGCTGAGCCCGCCCCCCCCTCAGCTGGGGGTGAGCGCCCGGATGTGGCGGGGCGGGAGGGGCCGAAATCTGCCTGGCAACAGCGATCTGATTGGCCGGGGCGGGCGGCGCGAGGGGAGACGGGTGTGCGGCGAGTGTGCAGACGGGTCACGTGGGGCGGTCACGTGGGGAGGGGTTGTGCAACGGGTGTGTGTCACGTGCGCGTGTCACGTGTGAGTGTGCAAGGGAGGGGTCGCGCGGGGAGGTCACGTGTGTGGGGTTGTGCAACTGGTGTGTCACGTGCGTGTGTCACATGTGCAAGGAGCGTGCAAGGCGCGTGCAAGGAGTGTGCAAGGAGAGCTCCGGAGCAGGAAAAGGAAAAGGAAAAGGAAAAGGAAAAGGAAAAGGAAAAGGAAAAGGAAAAGGAAAAGGATTTTCTTTGGATTGATGTCACCCCTAGGCCACGCCCATCCCGCAATTCCCAACTCCTGGAATTCCCGAATTCCCAAATTTCCAAATTCTGAATTCTGGAATTCCCAACCCTTGTGATTCCCAAATTCCTGACTCCCAGAATTCCCGCATCCCAGAATTCCCGAATTCCCAACTCGCGGAATTCCTGAACTCCTGACTCCTGGAATTCCCAAATTCCAGAATTCCCAAATTCCCAACTACCAGAATTCCCAAATTCCCAAATTTCCAAATTCCCGAATTCCCGACTCTCAGGATTCCCAAATTCCTGACTCCCAGAATTCCCGAATTCCCGAATCTCCCGGTTTTCCCGGGGGATCACAGCCAGGGGCCGGGGGTGCAGTCCCCGCATTCCCAAATTCCTGGAGGGGAAAAATAAATAGGGAATCGGATTTTAAAAACCCCAATTTTAATCAATTTTTAAATATAAATTCCCGCTGCCAGTTGGATCCCACCGGGTGGGAATTCCAGGGAAAAAAGGTTTGGAACAGCTGGAAAAATTGGGGGAAAGGGATTTGGATGGTTCAAATTCCACGGAGGATTTCCAGCCTCTCCCTGAGGGGAAGGATTTTTTCCCCGTGGATTTTTCCGGGATTTGATCCCAGGATTTGCTCTTGGCTTTTCCTGCTTTTTTTCCTGGATTTCTGAGCTTTGATTTTGGGGGAAGGAAATCCCACATTCCCGAGGGATTTCGGGGAGGTTGCAGATTTTTATCGGGAAGGGGAGAACTGGAAAAGTGGGGTTTTAATTGCAGGGGGTGAGGCTGAGTCCGAGCCGGCTCCGGCTTCGGGACTTTGCCGAGTTTGGGATGGTGGGATTGTGGGAAATTGAGGGATTTTTGGGGATTTTTGGGGATTTTGGGACGGATGGGATCTCCAAGCTCATCCCGTCCCACGCCCTTGGGCGGCTCCCGCTGGCCCAGGCGGCTCCCGGAGCTGCCCGGGCTGGGCTGGGGCAATTCCAGGGATGGGGAATCCATGGAAAAACCTGGGCCAAGGGAGGATTTATCCCAAATATCCACCTGGATCCCACTTTATTTCTGGGGAAAACCTTCTCGAGGAGCCCCCAGGGATAAAATAGGGGGAAAAAAAATTAAAAAGATAAAATGGGGATAAAAAGCCCAGCTGGAAGCAAAGCCCCGGGAAAAGAGGCAGCGCCGGGAATTCCCCCCAGACCCTGCCCGCGGTCCCGGCTCCGCCCGCGCCCGTCCCGGGCATTGTCCCGGCCCCGACGCCGCCCTCGGACCCCCCGGCATTTGTTCGTCCCGGGATGTTCCGGGAATGAGCCTCGGGAAGCTGCGGCTGATGCAGGAAACAACTTTATTGATGGCAGGGAAAGCAGGGACAGGGACAGCGACAGGGACAGGGACAGGGACAGGGACGGCCGGGAATGGCCCGCGGGACCCCGAACCCTGGAATCTCCCGAGGGCAGCCCAAAGCAGGAATCCCCCATGGGATCCTAAAGCCCAGAATCGCCCAGGGCACCCCAAACCCATCACCCGGGGCACCCCAAAGCCCCAATGCCCCCCAGTCCCATCACCCGGGGCACCCCAAAGCCCCAATGCCCCCCAGTCCCATCACCCGGGGCACCCCAAAGCCCGAGGGCACCCCAAACCCATCACCCGGGGCACCCCAAAGCCCCAGTGCCCCCCAGTCCCATCACCCGGGGCACCCCAAAGCCCCAGTGCCCCCCAGTCCCATCACCCGGGGCACCCCAAAGCCCCAATTTCCCCCCCGGAACCCCAATCCCGGCGCTGCCGGCGCCGCTCAGGGCAGGGTCACGGATTTGGCATCGCCGCCGGGGAAGCGGATCTCGTGCGCCAGGCACGGCCCGTTGGGCTCCTTGCCGAAATCCACCAGGAAGTTCTTGTTGACGCTCAGGCCGCCCTTGTCCGTGTCCACGTCGAGCTGCAGCATCACCGAGCCCTCCCTGCGCGGGGACAGCGGCGGCTCAGGGCGACAGCGACCCCGGGGCCGCGCCGAGCCCGCCCGGAGCTGCTCCGGACGGCGCCGGGGAGCGCCCGGGCCCGGGGCCGGCGGCGCGGGCTGCGATTGGCGCCGCTTGCGGTCCCCAGTGCCCGATGGAGGGGACAGGATGGGCGCAGGGACAGCTTTGGGTCCCCACTGCCCCCAGGACGGGCACGAACCCAGGGCAGGGCGGGCTCGGGGCCCTTTCCCCTCCGCAGCTCCCCCAGGCTCGGCTCGGGCTGGGCCCGGCCAGGCCCGACCCCCTTGGGCTGAGCTCAGCCCGGGCTCTGCCCGATCCCGACCCGGCCGCGAGCGGCTCCGGGACAGCCCCGGGGGGGTCGCGGCCCCTCCCGCTCCCACCGGGCCCGGGCAGCCTCGGGCAGCCGGGAGGGGCTCACTTGATCAGGCTGGGGTAGAACTGCCGGTCCCAGGTGCTGTAGAAGGAGTTGGTCACGTAGAGCCGCTTCCCGTCCAGGCTCAGCTGCAGCGTGGCGGGGCCGCCGTACACGCGCTTGCACTGGGACACACGGACTGGGGTTACTGGGGGCACTGGGAGAACTGGGGGCACTGGGACACACGGACTGGGGGTACTGGGGGCACTGGGGGCGCGGGGACACACGGACTGGGGGCACTGGGACACACGGACTGGGAGCACTGGGGGTACTGGGGTCACTGGGACACACGGACTGGGGGCACTGGGAGCGCTGGTGCTGGATTCCAGCAGGGGCAGTGAGAGCAGGCTCAGGCTCACGCTCAGGTGAGCGCTCACACTCACTCAGGTGAGCTCAGTCACACACTCACACACACACTCACACTAACACTCACACTCACACTCACGCTCCCCCAGCCCCGCCCCCAGCCCCGCCCCGCTCACCTTGAGCACCAGCGGCTCGGGCTGGCACTTGAGCTCCTCGTCCCTGCACACGGTCACGGGGCCCCCTCGCAGGATGCTGCCCCCCACGAACACCTGCAAGGGCCGCGCTGGCTCACGAGCGTTCCCCGGACCGGCCCCCGGGCCCCCGGCCCCGCCCGGCCCCGCCCGGCCCCGCCCGGCCCCGCCCGGCCCCGCTCGGCCCCGCCCGGCCCCCGGCCCGGGCCCTGCCCCTCACCTGCCCCACCAGCCGGGGCTTGCAGCTCCGGGACAGCTCGTACTGCCGGATGTCCCCGTGCAGCCAATTGCACACGTACAGGAACCGGTCGTCCTGGCTGATGACGAGGTCGGCGATGAAGGCTGCGGGCAGAGCCGGGGCTCAGGGGCACGGCCAGCACCGGGGGAGGCCACACGGGCCTGGCCTGAGCTGGCCTTTGGGGCAGGGACCAGCACTTCGGGCTCGCTCGGGATTCGGGGTCAGTAATCATTTAGGGTCCGTCCCGTTTGGGGTCAGTCCTGATTCGGGGTCAGTCAGGATTCGGGGTCCCCCAGCAGGATTTGGGGTCACCGAGCCGGCTCTGCGGTCCCCCAGCAGGATCTGGGGTCCCCCAGCAGGATCTGGGGTCCCTCCGCCGGCTCCGGGGTCACCCGCACACCGCGCCCGGCTGCAGAGCTCGCCCAGGGAACAGGAATGCCACCCCCGAGGGCACACGCACCCGGCATCTTGGGCATGATCCAGCCCGACACGTCCTTGGCCGGGATCCGGATCACCTCCTCCACGGCCCAGTTGTCTCTCTGCACAGGGACACCGAGCCCGGCTCAGCCCGCGCTGCCCCGGCCCGAGCCGAGCCGAGCCGGGCGCGACGGGCTCAGCCCCGAGCCCCGCACCCGGACCCTCCCTGGCCCCGTTCCCCGCTCCTCCTCCTCCTCCTCCTCCTCCTCCTCCTCCTCCTCCTCCTCGTCCCGGCCCCGTTCCCGCTCCCCACCGCGCCGCACTCGCCTCGCAGGATTTGTAGAAGCGGAAAATGGCCCCGCTCAGGGCACAGCCCACGTAGCCCTCGGCGGCCTCGGGGCTGTGCAGGAAGCGCACGGTCAGCGGCAGAGAATCCTCGCCCAGGTCGAAGCACTGCGTGAGGCTGCGGCACGACAGGTTCCACACGTTCAGGCGGCGGCCGAAGACCCCTGCGGGACACGGGGGAGAGGCTGGGGGCGGCCGGGGGGCCGGCGAGAGACCCCCGAGGGGCTCCTGGGGGGCATCGGCACGGGAAGGGCGGGAGCTGGGCAGGGGGAACTGGGAAATGCGGGAACTGGGCAGGGGGAACTGGGAAATGCGGGAGCTGGGCAGGGGGAACGGGGAAATGCAGGATTTGAGGAGAACAGAGAGAAATGCAGGATTTGGGGAGAACATTGAGAAATACGGGAACTGGGGAGAACAGAGAGAAATCCGGGATCTGGGAGAACAGAGAGAAATCCGGGATTTGGGAGAGCACAGAGAAATGCAGATTTGGGGGCAGCAGGACCCGGCCCCCCCGGGTTCCACCCCGCCCATCCTCAGCCCGAGCCTGGCCGAGGCTCCGGGCACAAATCGGCCTCTGGCGGGCCCCGAGCCCTGCCGGCCCCAGCTCAGCCCTGCCGGCGCTGCCGCCCGCGTGTCCCCACCTTTCTTGAGGTCATCGGGGTTGAAGCCACGCCCGGCCACTCTGGGCACCATCCCGGCCGAGCTGACCAGGACGTTGTGCCGGGCCTGGTACCAGAAGTCGTAGCCGGTCGGGGGAGCCTCACACTCGTTCTCCCAGTTGCCCTTCAGCTCGAAGGTCTCTCCGTCCAACACCACGAAGCCACCTGGGACACACAGGGACGGGCGGGGACAAATCCAGGCGGCCGCGTGTGCAGCGGGACCCCCGGGGTGCGAGTTTGGGCAGGGACACGGGAATTCCAGCAGGGACACGGGAATTCCAGCAGGGAACACTCACCTTTGCCGTGGCCAGCGGCGTCGCCCATGTTGGCGACCAGGACGTCCCCGTTGGGCAGGGGGTGGGTGACAGACAGGTAGCCCTTGTTGCACTTCCAGAACACATCCACGGGCTCGATCATCTGCGCGAACCAGCGCCCATTTCAGCCTCCGCCGGCTCGGCGCCTTTCCCGCCCGTAGCCCAGAATCCAAGCCCGCTCCCTCCCTCCCTCGCTCCCTCCCTGGCTCCCTCGCTCGCTGCCGGCGGCCCCGGCTCCCCCGGCCGTACCTTGCAGATCCGCGGCGCGCGGCACTGGGAGCCCACATCCACCACGTAGATGCGGGAGGAGATGAGGCCGGGCAGCACCAGCTTGGTCCTTTTGGCCGCGGCGCCGCTGTCGAAGCAGCCGCAGGCGGGGCCCCAGCCCGCGCAGTGCAGCTCGTCCTTGAGGTTGGGCATGGGCAGCCGGTGGATCACCTGGGCACGGCCAAGGCAGCTCAGGCCGGGCCGAGCCGGGACAGCCCGCGGGGAGCGGCCCCGGGGCCTGGGGAGCCCCGGAGAGGGGCTGGGGGCGGCCCCGGGGCCAGGGGAGCCCCGGAGAGGGGCTGGGGGCGGTCCCGGGATTTGGGGAGCCCCGGAGAGGGGCTGGGGGCGGCCCCGGGATTTGGGGAGCGCCGGAGAGGGGCCGGGGGCGGCCCCGGGATTTGGGGAGCCCCGGAGAGGGGCCGGGGGCGGCCCCGGCATTTGGGGAGCCCCGGAGAGGGGCTGGGGGCGGCCGGGAGCAGACGGGACAAGGTTTAAAGGTTCTCCTCGGTTCCCCGGCACAGAGATATCCGGGCGGCCCCGCAGCGCTCGGGGGGCGCAGCCCCGGCTCGGTCCCGCCCGGAGAGCCCGGCAGGCGCCCGTACCTGGCCGTAGTGGCAGGAGCGCGGGTTCAGGTCCACGGTGGCCAGGAAATCGGGCTGCTCGATGCCGGTGCACCTGTAGGTGCAGGTCACGTAGGCGACCTCCTCCCGCGGCGCTGGGGACACAAAAGCGGCTCGGACCGCGCCCCGAGACCCGAGCGGGACCGGGAGAGCCCCGGGCAGCTCCCCGCCATCACCGCCCTGATTTCGGGGCGCTGCCGTTCCCTGCCCGTCCCCCCGCGCCGCTGCCGACCCGGGAACGAGCGGCAGCGACCTCCGGCAGCTCTGGCCAAGGGGCCCGGCACAGACACCGAGCTCAGGGGACCCCAAAGAGCCCAACCGCCCCCAGCCCAGCCCCAGGGGCAGCACTCGCCTTTCAGCACGTCGGGGCACGAGGGGTACTCGTAGCACGGAGCTCTGCATCTGTCTGGGGAGCAGAGGGGACGCCGTGAGCCCGGCCCGGGCCCGCGCCCGAGCCCGCTCCGCGGGCTCCCTCCCAGCCCAGGGACCCCGGGGCCGCCCCGGGGCCACCGCGGCCCTCCCGGGGCACCCCTGGGAGCGCTCGGGGCGGCGCTGCCGCCTCCCGGCTCCGGGACCGGGACCCTGGGGACAGCGCGGGGCCGAGCCCCGCTGGGGACCCCCGGCGACAGCGCGGGGACCCCTCCCCACTGCGGGCACGGCACAGAGCCCAGACGGGACGGGGACAGAGCGGTCACCCGGAGCCGGGACACGAGGGGGACAGAGCTGCCACCGTGAGCTCGGATGGGGACAGAGCTGCCACCCGGGTCCAGGGCACGCTGGCAGCTCCAGCACGGACAATCCCTCGGGATCCCGGGTCCGCGGGGCCGGGCAGGGCCCCCGGGAGCCCCCAGGGCCCCGCAGCAGCTCCGGGAGCAGCGGCCCCGCGGGCTGAGCTCGGGCCCGGCTCCCTCCTCGTGCCCGGGGCACAGAGGCACCTGTGCCCAGCTGTGCCCAGGTATGCGCAGGTGAGTATGCCCAGGTGTGTGTGCCCAGGTGTGCCCAGCTGTGCCCGGGCCAGCCCCGCAGGGCCGGGGCCGGGCTGGGGCCGGTGCTGCGGGCCCGGGGCTCGGGGCAGCCGCGGGGGTCCCTTACCCATGGCTGCAGCTCTGGGGTCGCGGCGCTGGCGGCGGAGGAAGGAGCCGGAGCTGAGGGGCAGCTGCTGCTGTCTCGGGGCTGGGGCGGCTGTGCCGTGCCCTGGCTGCTCCCGGGGGCCTTTTATCCCCGCCGAAGGGTGCGGGCAGCGCGGCCAAGCCCAGGGAGGGGCTGCCCAGCGCTTGGGAGGGGCCAGCCCGGCGCTGCGGCTTCTTTCCTCCTCCCCGCCGCCAATCTGGGCCCAAATCTGCTGCTCCCTGCAGCTCCCGAAGCCTCAAACCCCGGGGCCGGCCCCGGCCGAGCCCGGCTCGCCCCGCACGGAGCGGCTGCTCCGCACCCGCAGCGCCCCCGGCCCGGCCCGGCCACCCCCAAACTGCTCCTGCTCCTGACAGGGGCACCCCGGCCCCGATCCCAGCGGCAGCCCGGGGCTCCCCGAGCCGCCTCTGCCGGGGACGGGAGTTTGGGAGCTCGGGGACACCGGGACGGGCTCGGGGACACCGGGACGGGCTCGGGGACACCGGGACGGGCTCGGGGACACCGGGATGGGCTCAGGGAGCTGCTCAGGGGATCCCAGGGACGCGGACAGACCCAGGGGACACAGGGATGGGCTCAGGAAATCGTCCCTGAGCGCCCCTGGGGCAGCTGCAGCCAGGGCAGGACACGGGGTGGCCTCCCCGGCTGACTCCTGTTGGTGCGGACCTGGGGTCAGCTGGGGACAAGGGGGATTTGGGGTGCTCGGCTCTGGCACTTGGGGCTGGAAGGGTCACCCGGGACTGTCCCCAACCCTCTGATCACCCCCAAGTGTCCTCAGGGCCCTGGCCATGCCTTACCCCAGCCCCGGGTGCCACCACCAGCACAAAAGTGGCACCAGCCGGGCTGGATTTGACCCAAACTGGGCTGAAGTGGCCCCAAAAGAGCCGAGATCCCGCTCCAGGCCCCGAGGGCTCGCAGCAGGGTCCCCTCCCGAGGCCACCACCGGCCTGGCCGCCAGCAGTGCCACAGCCGGGGACACTCAGCGCCCTGGAATGCGGCTCCCGGCCCTGGGGAGAGCGGCCCGGGCACTGCGGAGGGCACAGGGACACGGAATTGCTGCCGCCAGCAGCGCGGGGACACCGCCCGGGGATGTCCCCGCAGCGGGGACAGCTCAGCGCCCCCGGCCGCTCCGGGCCAGCCCCGGCACCGGGCACCGGGCACCGGGCACCGGGCAGCGGGCACCGGGCACCGGGCAGCGCCTCAAGGGCCTTCTCTGGGCACTGCGAGCGGCAGAATCGCGGGAAACCATCGGCTTTGGGGTGGAAAAGTGCAGAAGAGGCTCTGGCCGGGGCCGCCCTTGGCCGGCAGCCCCGCTTTGGTGCGCCCTGGACACCCTCGGTGTCCCCACGTGCCCGCGCCTCCCTCCCCTGGCGCTCACACCCGCTCATTAGCCAGCTCATTAGCCCGCTCCTCATTAGCCAGCTCATTAGCCCGCCCCTCATTAACGAGCCGCGCTGCTCCCGGTGGCTTCCCGAGCTGACGTCGCCGTGTCCCCTCCCTGTCCCCGCTCGGCGCTCGCGTGTCCCCGCGGCGCTGATAACAGCGAGATAAGCGCGCGCTCAGCGCAGCTCGCGTGGCCGCAGGACGAGCCCCGGCACCCTCCGGCCGCTGCCCACGCCCCGCCGGCCGCTCCGGCTCCTCCGGCCCCGGCGGGATTTGGGAACGCGCCGGGATTTGGGAACGCGCCGGGATTTGGGAACGCGGGAGCGGCGGGATTTGGGAAGGCGGGAGCGGCGGGATTTGGGAACGCGCCGGGATTGGGGAAGGCGGGAGCGGCGCTCTGGGATGCGCCCCCGCTCCGCAGCCACCTCGGACAGCTCCCGGCTCCGGCAGCGGCCCCGGCGGGGCTTTGGCTTCCCCCGGGGTTCCTTCAGCACTACCCGCTCCTAAATCCCGATTTCCTGCGCTTTTGGCCCATTCTCCGTCCTCTCTTCCCGGCCTCGGCCTGATCCCGCACCCTCAGCCGGGCACTGACTTCGGGAAAACGTTTGGCTCACGGAGGGAGCCCCAAATCCCGCTGCTCGTTCCTCCCCGGGGCTGCAATTCCACCCAGGAGCCGCCCCCGGGGCTCTGCAGCGTTCCCGGCTCTCCCGTCAGAAAGCCTCGAGCTCAAATTCCCTCCCGAGCCACGAATTCCCCGCTTTTCTGATGATTCGGTGGGAAAAGTGTGATTTTTGGGAGCTGGCTTCCGAGTTCACCTGAAAATGTGACAAAATCCGAAATTCCCCGGCCAGTGGAGGGCAGGTGACACTGGATGAGCTCGGGAGTTTTTTCCTCGCTCCTCCACCAGAAATAAACGGGAAAAAAAAAATCACACTCGGGGGAACCGCGAGCTTTTCCTTGGTTCCAAAGCCGGGGGGGCTCCACTGCAGCCCAGGACGGGGCCGCGATTCCCCGGGTCGGGCTTGGAACGGGACCGAAGGAGGACATTTGTCCCTGTCCCGGTCCCCGTCACTGTCCCCATCCCTGTCCCGGTCCCCATCCCTGTCCCTGCCGAGGGGGACACGCGGGGGGCCCGAACCCCGAATTCCCTCGGGATTGTTCCAGGGAACAGCCGGACCCCCCAAACCAGCAGGAAAAGGCGGCCGGGAGGAGCCGCTGCCCTGGGCCGGGTCCCAAAATTCCCAAGGGTTGGAAGTTTTTGGGCGAGCAGCCCCCGAGGAGCCGCCACAGCCCGAGATAATTCCAGGGCGTCTCTCCTCCTCTGGATCCGCTTGGAATGAGGGACTTGAAAGGCTCGGGGAGGCCTTTCCTCCCTCCACGGGGCAGGAATGTCCAGCTCCAGAGGCTTTCGGGATGGGCGGGACAGATCCCAGATGAATCCCTTCCAAATCGGGGGAGATAAACGCGATCTGCAGTGTCAGGAACGGAGAAATCTGATTTTCCCTGGATTATGGAAGTGGGGATGAGGAGGAGAGGCCGGGAAACTTCCCGAACCGGGCTGGGGGGACGCTGCCCCCACCTCTGGCCATGGAAAAGCCGCAGGAGAGCACAGGGAGAACCAGCCCGGCTCACCTGGGCGCAGGGAGGGGCAGGAAGTAATCCCAGCTCTTATCAGCAACTTTATCTTATCAGCCGCAGCTTTATCTCCTCCCGGCCAGGCTCACCACGGGAATTTCGAGCTCACCCAAACGTTCATTTGCAGTGGCTTTTGTAGGATTCGCTCATTTTGGGGGGATGTAGGAACTGGATTTGATGTTTGGAAATAGCGCTGAGTGCTAAAGGGACCATTAGGAGAATTCCAGACTCAACTGGGTTTGGAAATTGCACCGAGGATTAAAGGGACGCATACGGGAATTCCAGGATTTTTGGGGCTGCAAAATCCCTCCAGGACCATCCAGCCCAAGATGGGGCCCATTCCCCCCGGTCACCCAGACAAAGTCCGGGAATTCTCCGGGGGTGGCCACTCTGAACCTCCCGGGGCAGCCCCTTCAAGGCCTTTTCCCTTTTCCAGGAAGAATTTACCAGATTTCCCCTGAGCCTCCCCTGGCACAGCTCGAGGCCGTTCCCTCTTGTCCTGGCCCCATTCCCTGGGATCAGATCGCAAATCCCTCCCGGCAGATCCCAAATTCCCCGGGATCCCCCTTTGATCCAGGTGGAGCTCCCGGTGTCCCCGGGATCCCCTGAGCAGCTCCCTGAGCCCATCCCGGTGTCCCTGAGCCCGTCCCGGTGTCCCTGAGCCCGTCCCGGTGTCCCCGAGCCCGTCCCGGTGTCCCCGAGCCCATCCCGGTGTCCCCGAGCCCGTCCCGGTGTCCCCGAGCTCCCAAACTCCCGTCCCCGGCAGAGGCGGCTCGGGGAGCCCCGGGCTGCCGCTGGGATCGGGGCCGGGGTGCCCCTGTCAGGAGCAGGAGCCGTTTGGGGGTGGCCGGGCCGGGCCGGGGGCGCTGCGGGTGCGGAGCAGCCGCTCCGTGCGGGGCGAGCCGGGCTCGGCCGGGGCCGGCCCCGGGGTTTGAGGCTTCGGGAGCTGCAGGGAGCAGCAGATTTGGGCCCAGATTGGCGGCGGGGAGGAGGAAAGAAGCCGCAGCGCCGGGCTGGCCCCTCCCAAGCGCTGGGCAGCCCCTCCCTGGGCTTGGCCGCGCTGCCCGCACCCTTCGGCGGGGATAAAAGGCCCCCGGGAGCAGCCAGGGCACGGCACAGCCGCCCCAGCCCCGAGACAGCAGCAGCTGCCCCTCAGCTCCGGCTCCTTCCTCCGCCGCCAGCGCCGCGACCCCAGAGCTGCAGCCATGGGTAAGGGACCCCCGCGGCTGCCCCGAGCCCCGGGCCCGCAGCCCCGGCCCCAGCCCGGCCCCGGCCCTGCGGGGCTGGCCCGGGCACAGCTGGGCACACCTGGGCACACCTGGGCACACACAGCAGGGCACAGCAGGGCACACTCACCTGGGCACAGCAGGGCACACCTGGGCACACAGACCTGGGCACACCTGGTCACAGGTGCCTCTGTGCCCCGGGCATGAGGAGGGAGCCGGGCCCGAGCTCAGCCCGCGGGGCCGCTGCTCCCGGAGCTGCTGCGGGGCCCTGGGGGCTCCCGGGGGCCCTGCCCGGCCCCGCGGACCCGGGATCCCGAGGGATTGTCCGTGCTGGAGCTGCCAGCGTGCCCTGGACCCGGGTGGCAGCTCTGTCCCCATCCGAGCTCACGGTGGCAGCTCTGTCCCCGTCTGGGCTCTGTCCCCCTCGTGTCCCGGCTCCGGGTGAACGCTCTGTCCCGTCCCGTCTGGGCTCTGTGCCGTGCCCGCAGTGGGGAGGGGTCCCCGCGCTGTCGCCGGGTGTCCCCAGCGGGGCTCGGCCCCGCGCTGTCCCCAGGGTCCCGGTCCCGGAGCCGGGAGGCGGCAGCGCCGCCCCGAGCGCTCCCAGGGGTGCCCCGGGAGGGCCGCGGTGGCCCCGGGGCGGCCCCGGGGTCCCTGGGCTGGGAGGGAGCCTGCGGAGCGGGCTCGGGCGCGGGCCCGGGCCGGGCTCACGGCGTCCCCTCTGCTCCCCAGACAGATGCAGAGCTCCGTGCTACGAGTACCCCTCGTGCCCCGACGTGCTGAAAGGCGAGTGCTGCCCCTGGGGCTGGGCTGGGGGCGTTTGGGCTCTTTGGGGTTCCCCGAGCTCGGTGTCTGTGCCGAGCCCCTTGGCCAGAGCTGCCGGAGGTCGCTCCCGCTCGTTCCCGGGTCGGCAGCGGCGCGGGGGGCGCTGCAGGGAACGGCAGCGCCCCGAAATCAGGGCGGTGATGGCGGGGAGCTGCCCGGGGCTCTCCCGGTCCCGCTCGGGTCTCGGGGCGCGGTCCGAGCCGCTTTTGTGTCCCCAGCGCCGCGGGAGGAGGTCGCCTACGTGACCTGCACCTACAGGTGCACCGGCATCGAGCAGCCCGATTTCCTGGCCACCGTGGACCTGAACCCGCGCTCCTGCCACTACGGCCAGGTACGGGCGCCTGCCGGGCTCTCCGGGCGGGACCGAGCCGGGGCTGCGCCCCCCGAGCGCTGCGGGGCCGCCCGGATATCTCTGTGCCGGGGAACCGAGGAGAACCTTTAAACCTTGTCCCGTCTGCTCCCGGCCGCCCCCGGCCCCTCTCCGGGGCTCCCCAAATGCCGGGGCCGCCCCCAGCCCCTCTCCGGGGCTCCCCAAATGCCGGGGCCGCCCCCAGCCCCTCTCCGGGGCTCCCCTGGCCCCGGGGCCGCTCCCCGCGGGCTGTCCCGGCTCGGCCCGGCCTGAGCTGCCTTGGCCGTGCCCAGGTGATCCACCGGCTGCCCATGCCCAACCTCAAGGACGAGCTGCACTGCGCGGGCTGGGGCCCCGCCTGCGGCTGCTTCGACAGCGGCGCCGCGGCCAAAAGGACCAAGCTGGTGCTGCCCGGCCTCATCTCCTCCCGCATCTACGTGGTGGATGTGGGCTCCCAGTGCCGCGCGCCGCGGATCTGCAAGGTACGGCCGGGGGAGCCGGGGGCGCCGGCAGCCAGGGAGCCAGGGAGGGAGCCAGGGAGGGAGGGAGCGGGCTTGGATTCTGGGGTACGGCCGGGAAAGGCGCCGAGCAGGCGGAGGCTGAAATGGGCGCTGGTTCGCGCAGATGATCGAGCCCGTGGATGTGTTCTGGAAGTGCAACAAGGGCTACCTGTCTGTCACCCACCCGCTGCCCAACGGGGACGTCCTGGTCGCCAACATGGGCGACGCCGCTGGCCACGGCAAAGGTGAGTGTTCCCTGCTGGAATTCCCGTGTCCCTGCTGGAATTCCCGGGTCCCTGCCCAAACTCGCACCCCGGGGGTGCCGCTGGACTCGCGGCCGCCTGGATTTGTCCCCGCCCGTCCCTGTGTGTCCCAGGTGGCTTCGTGGTGTTGGACGGAGAGACCTTCGAGCTGAAGGGCAACTGGGAGAACGAGTGTGAGGCTCCCCCGACCGGCCACGACTTCTGGTACCAGGCCCGGCACAACGTCCTGGTCAGCTCGGCCGGGATGGTGCCCAGAGTGGCCGGGCGTGGCTTCAACCCCGATGACCTCAAGAAAGGTGGGGACACGCGGGCGGCAGCGCCGGCAGGGCTGAGCTGGGGCCGGCAGGGCTCGGGGCCCGCCAGAGGCCGATTTGTGCCCGGAGCCTCGGCCAGGCTCGGGCTGAGGATGGGCGGGGTGGAACCCGGGGGGGCCGGGTCCTGCTGCCCCCAAATCTGCATTTCTCTGTGCTCTCCCAAATCCCGGATTTCTCCGTGTTCTCCTCAATTCCTGCATTTCCCAGTTCCCCCTGCCCAGCTCCCGCATTTCCCGTGCCGATGCCCCCCAGGAGCCCCTCGGGGGTCTCTCGCCGGCGCCCCCGGCCGCCCCCAGCCTCTCCCCCGTGTTCCGCAGGGGTCTTCGGCCGCCGCCTGAACGTGTGGAACCTGTCGTGCCGCAGCCTCACGCAGTGCTTCGACCTGGGCGAGGATTCTCTGCCGCTGACCGTGCGCTTCCTGCACAGCCCCGAGGCCGCCGAGGGCTACGTGGGCTGTGCCCTGAGCGGGGCCATTTTCCGCTTCTACAAATCCTGCGAGGCGAGTGCGGCGCGGTGGGGAGCGGGAACGGGGCCGGGACGACGAGGAGGAGGAGGATGAGGAGGAGGAGGGGGAGGAGCGGGGAACGGGGCCAGGGAGGGTCCGGGTGCGGGGCTCGGGGCTGAGCCCGTCGCGCCCGGCTCGGCTCGGCTCGGCTCGGGCCGGGGCAGCGCGGGCTGAGCCGGGCTCGGTGTCCCTGTGCAGAGAGACAACTGGGCCGTGGAGGAGGTGATCCGGATCCCGGCCAAGGACGTGTCGGGCTGGATCATGCCCAAGATGCCGGGTGCGTGTGCCCTCGGGGGTGGCATTCCTGTTCCCTGGGTGAGCTCTGCAGCCGGGCGCGGTGTGCGGGTGACCCCGGAGCCGGCGGAGGGACCCCAGATCCTGCTGGGGGACCCCAAATCCTGCTGGGGGACCGCAGAGCCGGCTCGGTGACCCCAAATCCTGCTGGGGGACCCCGAATCCTGACTGACCCCAAATCAGGACTGACCCCAAACGGGACGGGCCCTAAATGATTACCGACCCCGAATCCCGAGCGAGCCCGAAGTGCTGGTCCCTGCCCCAAAGGCCAGCTCAGGCCAGGCCCGTGTGGCCTCCCCCGGTGCTGGCCGTGCCCCTGAGCCCCGGCTCTGCCCGCAGCCTTCATCGCCGACCTCGTCATCAGCCAGGACGACCGGTTCCTGTACGTGTGCAATTGGCTGCACGGGGACATCCGGCAGTACGAGCTGTCCCGGAGCTGCAAGCCCCGGCTGGTGGGGCAGGTGAGGGGCAGGGCCGGGGGCCGGGCGGGGCCGGGCGGGGCCGGGCGGGGCCGGGGGCCCGGGGGCCGGTCCGGGGAACGCTCGTGAGCCAGCGCGGCCCTTGCAGGTGTTCGTGGGGGGCAGCATCCTGCGAGGGGGCCCCGTGACCGTGTGCAGGGACGAGGAGCTCAAGTGCCAGCCCGAGCCGCTGGTGCTCAAGGTGAGCGGGGCGGGGCCGGAGCGCCGGGGCGGGGCTGGGGGAGCGCGAGTGTGAGTGAGTGTGAGTGTGTGCTCACCTGAGCGTGAGTGTGAGCGTGTGTGAGCGCTCACCTGAGCCTGCTCTCACTGCCCCTGCTGGAATCCAGCCCCAGCGCTCCCAGTACCCCCAGTCTGTGTGTCCCAGTAACCCCAGTACCCCCAGTAACCCCAGTCCGTGCGTCCCAGTGCTCCCAGTGCTCCCTGTCCGTGCGTCCCAGTGCCCCCAGTGCCCCCAGTGCTCCCAGTGCTCCCTGTCCGTGCGTCCCAGTGCCCCCAGTGCCCCCAGTGCTCCCAGTGCTCCCAGTCCGTGTGTCCCAGTGCCCCCAGTAGCCCCAGTCCGTGTGTCCCAGTAACCCCAGTCCGTGTGTCCCAGTAACCCCAGTCCGTGTGTCCCAGTGCCCCCAGTCCGTGTGTCCCAATGCCCCCAGTGCCCCCAGTAACCCCAGTCCGTGTGTCCCAGTGCCCCCAGTCCGTGTGTCCCAATGCCCCCAGTGCCCCCAGTAACCCCAGTCCGTGTGTCCCAGTGCCCCCAGTCCGTGTGTCCCAATGCCCCCAGTGCCCCCAGTAACCCCAGTCCGTGTGTCCCAGTACCCCCAGTCCGTGTGTCCCCGCGCCCCCAGTGCCCCCAGTGCCCCCAGTCCGTGTGTCCCAGTGCCCCCAGGGCCCCCAGTAACCCCAGTCCGTGTGTCCCAGTGCAAGCGCGTGTACGGCGGCCCCGCCACGCTGCAGCTGAGCCTGGACGGGAAGCGGCTCTACGTGACCAACTCCTTCTACAGCACCTGGGACCGGCAGTTCTACCCCAGCCTGATCAAGTGAGCCCCTCCCGGCTGCCCGAGGCTGCCCGGGCCCGGTGGGAGCGGGAGGGGCCGCGACCCCCCCGGGGCTGTCCCGGAGCCGCTCGCGGCCGGGTCGGGATCGGGCAGAGCCCGGGCTGAGCTCAGCCCAAGGGGGTCGGGCCTGGCCGGGCCCAGCCCGAGCCGAGCCTGGGGGAGCTGCGGAGGGGAAAGGGCCCCGAGCCCGCCCTGCCCTGGGTTCGTGCCCGTCCTGGGGGCAGTGGGGACCCAAAGCTGTCCCTGCGCCCATCCTGTCCCCTCCATCGGGCACTGGGGACCGCAAGCGGCGCCAATCGCAGCCCGCGCCGCCGGCCCCGGGCCCGGGCGCTCCCCGGCGCCGTCCGGAGCAGCCCCGGGCGGGCTCGGCGCGGCCCCGGGGTCGCTGTCGCCCTGAGCCGCCGCTGTCCCCGCGCAGGGAGGGCTCGGTGATGCTGCAGCTCGACGTGGACACGGACAAGGGCGGCCTGAGCGTCAACAAGAACTTCCTGGTGGATTTCGGCAAGGAGCCCAACGGGCCGTGCCTGGCGCACGAGATCCGCTTCCCCGGCGGCGATGCCAAATCCGTGACCCTGCCCTGAGCGGCGCCGGCAGCGCCGCTGTCCCCGCCGGCAGCGCCGGGATTGGGGTTCCGGGGGGGAAATTGGGGCTTTGGGGTGCCCCGGGTGATGGGACTGGGGGGCACTGGGGCTTTGGGGTGCCCCGGGTGATGGGACTGGGGGGCACTGGGGCTTTGGGGTGCCCCGGGTGATGGGTTTGGGGTGCCCTGGGCGATTCTGGGCTTTAGGATCCCATGGGGGATTCCTGCTTTGGGCTGCCCCCGGGAGATTCCAGGGTTCGGGGTCCCGCGGGCCATTCCCGGCCGTCCCTGTCCCTGTCCCTGTCCCTGTCCCTGCTTTCCCTGCCATCAATAAAGTTGTTTCCTGCATCAGCCGCAGCTTCCCGAGGCTCATTCCCGGAACATCCCGGGACGAACAAGTGCCGGGGGGTCCGAGGGCGGCGTCGGGGCCGGGACAATGCCCGGGACGGGCGCGGGCGGAGCCGGGACCGCGGGCAGGGTCTGGGGGGAATTCCCGGCGCTGCCTCTTTTCCCGGGCTTTGCTTCCAGCTGGGCTTTTTATCCCCATTTGTCATCAATCTTTCCCCCTATTTTTCTCGATTTTATTTATATTTTCTTCCTGTTTTAGCTGTATTTTATCCCTATTTTTTCCTCTATTTTATCCTTATTGTTCTCTATTCCCCCCCTATTTTAGCCATATTTTACCACTATTTTATCCCTATTTAATTTTTTTTATTTTATTCCTATTCTATCTCCATTTTATCCCTATCTTATCTTTAGACAACAAATGAAGAGTGGGAATGTCAGAAAATGACATGGTTTTTTAGCCAAAAATGCCCAAAAATCCTAAGAAAGGGAATTTCAGCTGCTGGAAGGAGAATTTTATTGTGAGTTTTGATTTTTGATCAGAAATCTCAGAGATTATTTTTAGGAGAGGCTGCTCTGGGAGGAGATGACGCCCCAGGCACCCCAAATTCTCTGGGAGAAGTGATAGAGAGAAGAAAGGATTGTGAAAAAACGGGATAAATCCTGAATTTCCTGGGATCAAAGGCAGATGGTGGAGGTGGAGTACCCACATTCCCAAATATTCCCAAATATTCTGTCTTCCAGGGAAATCAGGATATCCATGATCAGCCCTTCTTGAGGGAATTCCAGAGGAAAATCAGGGAATGGGAGCAGAGAATTCCGGTGGCATCACAGCCACATGTTGGAGGTGCAGTCCCACATTCCCCCACTCCCACATTCCCGAATATTCCCAAATATCCCGGAATTCCGGCGGGATCACAGCCAGATGTCGGAGGTGCAGTCCCACATTCCCACATTCCCAAACATTCCCAGATTTCCCTGGAATTCCGGCGGGGTCACAGCCAGATGTCGGAGGTGCAGTTCCGCATTCCCCCATCCCAAACATTCCCAAACATTCCCAGATTTCCCCGGAATTCCGGCGGGATCACAGCCAGATGTCGGAGGTGCAGTCCCACATTCCCCCATCCCAAACATTCCCAGATATTCCCAGATTTCCCTGGAATTCCGGCGGGGTCACAGCCAGATGTCGGAGGTGCAGCCCCACATTCCCAAACATTCCCAAACATTCCCAGATTTCCCTGGAATTCCAGCAGGATCACAGCCAGATGTCGGAGGTGCAGTCCCACATTCCCACATTCCCAAACATTCCCAGATTTCCCTGGAATTCCGGCGGGGTCACAGCCAGATGTCGGAGGTGCAGTCCCACATTCCCCCATCCCAAACATTCCCAGATATTCCCAGATTTCCCTGGAATTCCGGCGGGATCACAGCCAGATGTCGGAGGTGCAGTCCCACATTCCCCCATCCCAAACATTCCCAAACATTCCCAGATTTCCCTGGAATTCCAGCAGGATCACAGCCAGATGTCGGAGGTGCAGTCGCCCCCCGGGTACCGCACCTCGTGCGCCAGGCAGGGCCCGCCCGGCTCCTTCCCAAAATCCAGCAGGAATTCGGGATTGACGGCCAGGCCTCCCCGCGCCGTGTCCACGTCCAGCTGCAGCAGCACCGAGCCCTCCCTGCAGCAATTCAATAAAAACTGCGGTTAAAACCAAATTAATCACCAATTAATGACACAAAATTCATCCTAAAATTCCCCCTCAAAACCCCCCTGCATTTGGAGTTACCAACCAATTAATACCAATTGACAACAAATTATGAATCAATTATAAACCAATTAGCAATCAATTAACTGCCATTTAGCAATCAACTAATAACCAATTAATCAATCAATCAACAACCAATTAATCATCAGCAACCAGTAATAATCAATAACCAGTTATAGACCAATTAATGGTCAATTAATAACCAATTAATAAGCGAGCAATAATAATCAATAAGTAATAATAACCAACAACCAATTGTTAACCAATCAAAAATCAATAAACGATCAATTAATCGCTAATTAATGATCAGTTAATCACCGATTAACGATCAATCATTACCAATGAATAACCAGTAAGTGCCAACAAGCCATTGTTAACCAATTTGAGCTAATTAGTGCCCGATGAATGACCAATGAACCCCAGTAAGTGCCAACAAGCAATTGTTAACCAATTTGAGCTAATTAGTACCCAAAGAATAACCAATGAACCCCAGTAAGTGCCAACAAGCAATTGTTAACCAATTTGAGCTAATTACTGCCCGATGAATGACCAGTGAACCCCGTGGCCGCCGGGGGTTATTGATCATTGATCATTGATCATTGATCATTGCTCATTGCTCACTGATCGGGAGGGCTCACCTGAGCAGGCCGGGGTAGAACTGCCGGTCCCAGGCGCTGAACAGGGACGTGGTCACGAAGAGCCGGCGCCCGTCCAGGCTCAGCTGCAGCATCTGCGGCCCCCCCGGGATCCGCTTCCCCTGCGCGGGAAAAACACCGGGAAGCACCCAGGGCTCCGAAACCCCGGATCTGGGAAGGGCCAGGCCCCAGCTCGGGGGAGAAAATGGAATTTTGGGGGAAAAATGGAATTTTTGGGGAAAAAAAAAGTCCAAGGGCTCCGAAATCCTGGATCTGGGAAGGGCCAGGCCCCAGCTCGGGGGAGAAAATGGAATTTTGGGGAAAAAATGGAATTTTTGGGGAAAAAAACATCCAAGGGCTCCGAAATCCCGGAGTCGGGAATGGCCAGGCCCCAGCTCTGGGGAGAAAATGGAATTTTTGGGGAAAAAATGGAATTTTGGGGGAAAAAAAACGTCCTAGGGCTCCGAAATCCCGGAATTGGGAAGGGCCAGGCCCCAGCTTTGGGGAGAAAATGGAATTTTGGGGGAAAAATGGAATTTTGGGGGAAAAAAACATCCAAGGGCTCCAAAATCCTGGATCTGGGAAGGGCCAGGCCCCAGCTCGAGGGAGAAAATGGAATTTTGGGGGAAAAAAAGGAATTTTGGGGGAAAAAAAACGTCCAAGGGCTCCGAAATCCCGGAGTCGGGAATGGCCAGGCCCCAGCTCTGGGGAGAAAATGGAATTTTGGGGGAAAAAATGGAATTTTGGAGGAAAAAAAACATCCAAGGGCTCCGAAATCCCGGAATTGGGAAGGGCCAGGCCCCAGCTCGGGGGAGAAAATGGAATTTTGGGGGAAAAAAACATCCAAGGGCTCCGAAATCCCGGAGTCGGGAAGGGCCAGGCCCCAGCTCGGGGGAGAAAATGGAATTTTGGGGGAAAAAATGGAATTTTGGGGGAAAAAAAACGTCCTAGGGCTCCGAAATCCCGGAATTGGGAAGGGCCAGGCCCCAGCTCGGGGGAGAAAATGGAATTTTGGGGGAAAAAAACATCCAAGGGCTCCAAAATCCCGGAGTCGGGAATGGCCAACCCCGAGCTTTGGGGAGAAAATTTTTTTCCCCAGATTTCTTAATCCCACGATTTTTTTCTGAGGAAAAATTGGGGTTTCAGGGATGATACCCATCCCTAAGGAAGCAAAATCCAGGTGGGAACAACTTCAGGAGGGGTTTTGGACGTCGGGAATCTCCAAAAATCTGGGGAGAATCAGGAACAAAATGTGGGAATCCTCACCTGGATCACGCACGGCTCCGGCTGATCCTGCAATTCCCGATCCTCCACCACGGTCACAGGTCCCCCTTTGGAGATGCTGCCTCCCAGAAAAACCTGGAAAACCGTTAAAATCCATGGGAAATCCGGATGAATCCCTTCAAAACCATGGGAGTTGGGTTTTTTGGGAATTTCCTCCTCACCTGCCCCACCAGCCTGGGGTTTTTGGGGTCGGAGATGTCGTACTGCCGCACGTCCCCGTGCAGCCAGTTGCTGAAGTACAGGAATCTGTCGTCCAGGGAAATCAGGATGTCCGTGATCAGCCCTTCCCGAGGGAATTCCAGAGGAAAATCAGGGAATGGGAGCAGAGAGAATCCCCAAAACACCCAAATTCCCATGTGGAAACGCCAAAAAATGGGGTTGGGAAGGAGTTGGGGGGAACAAAATCAACCTCAGGAATTACTGCGGAATTCCTGAGGAAATCCAGACTCAAATTCCAAGGATTTTCCTGGAAAATCCCACCCCCAGCACAGAGCAGACCCCACTCCGGATTTCCTTTGCTCATCCCAAAATTCTCCCTCAAAAAAACCCCCAATATTTGGAATTTTTTGCCATTTAAAGATAGAATTCTGCCAAAATCTGCTCTGGATCCATGAGAAAATTCCCAAATTTCTCCCACTGACCTGGCATCTCCGGGAGGAGCCATCCTTGGACTTTCTTGCTGGGCACCTCAATCACCTTCTCCGCTTCCCATTTTCCCTCCTGAGGGACGGAAAACATGGAACTCCCAAAATTCATGGAATATCCACCCCACAATCCCACGGTGATAAAACCTCGGAGATTTTTCTAAAACCCCTGGAATTCCATGGAAAAACCCTGGAACTCCATGGAAAAACCCTTAAAACCCTCTGGAATTCCATGGAAAAACCCACAATTCCCAGTGGATTTTTCTCCAAAAACCCAGGAATTCCATGGAGAAAGCCCCGATTCTCTGACGATTCCCCCCAAGTCCCCGA